GATAAATAGATCAATAGGAAATACGCTCACGAGCCACGTATACAAATATACCTTCTTTTTTTTTTATATATAGTAGGCCTAAATCAACAGCATCATTATATCACAATGTTCATTTGGAAGGTTTTTGTTCCTCCCAGGAGAAACCATTAAGCTTTATTTGTAGTATTAACATTCCGATTTCCAAACCAATGTTCTTTTATCCAGAATGATAAAAGAAAAGGTGATTCTAGACGAATGAAGTTCCAATTTCAGCATCCATATATCAGCTATGTTATAATAGACACGTTGCTTTCCCTGACAATAATGGGATTGTTGCTCAAATTGAGCAGGAACTGAACTGTGGAACATTGTGGATGAGAGCACAACCCCCTTCCACATAGTCAAGACAAAGACCTCATTAGTTTAATTTAGGCAGGCTAAGCAGATTTCACTGTCACATTTTGAGGGAGCCAAAAAGAATGGCAATATTTGGCACAAGATGTGAGTAACCCACAAAAGTCTGAAACCACAACAAATGTCAACAGTCGATTCCGATATAGTCCGAGGAGGAGGACGAGCTTGTGCTTGTGATATCGCAACAGTCCTCCGCATCCGAGAAAGAAGAAGTATAGTGGAGGCCTGAGAGTCTGTGGTAGTCCTGCTGAGTGACCTCTGGCAAATGAGACATGTCCATTGATGTCTGGCCTCTTCGTGAGCTACGTGACACACTCCACATATCAATCAACTGTGTGCAAATGGCACAACCCATTGCTGTATGTTATATCCAAAATGTGGTCAGATGCTAATTGCTGTCTTGAACAGAAGACATCTCCCTATATGACATCACCTTTTAAAAGGTACACACTGAAACACATATCTGCAGTGTAGAGGCAATTACTCATTCAAGCACTGGCTGTCACATAATAGTGATTAACAGCAGGTTGGACTTGTCATACGTTTGGATGCATCGTATGATGGCAAACTGTGAGCGTGTCTGTGTGAAAAGAGCTATATGGAAAGAAAAGAGAGCGTGAGAAAGCAACTGTGTCTAAGTAGGTCTTCCCTAGGAATGCTTTGTTCAAACCCTCGCCTGGAGGTAGTGACAATTATAAGGTGGAGTACAAGATGAAAACTTAAAATGATGCATTGAGACAAGAAAAGACAGAAGGACTATGAGTCAAATCATTGTAGCGTGTGCACTGCAGACCACAGAGTTTAGGACTAGACTAAAGACTGCTAGGGAATTACTAAAAGGTCACAAAGTCAGTGTAGTGTAGTGCAAATATTGGAACATGGTCAGTAATATTTCAATCTCTTAGTGTCGGTTCGAAACATGAAAAACAGGAATATGATATCGGAGATTAGTGTTTTTCTCAAAAATGCAATACCACACCTCTATTTTTAGTTTGCTTTGAACTCACATTACTTTATGAACATATAGAATATCAAAAGCTAATGCAGTCCCTTTGCCATAGTCAAAGATCAGTGAAGCTGTATTCTCCCACCCTGTGAAGCTTGGGTGTGACTCTGATCATTGTCGCTATTGTTGCTAAAGTCTCTGTAGTGTTTTCAGTCCATGAACATGGACCATCGTCCAGCCTAGAGAAAGAAACAGAACACGTTCAACCGATGGCATCAGAGATAATCTGCATTTCATAACAATTAGCTTTCAACTAAAATTAACATGCATGGCCGTTTACAAGAACTCAAAATAGAACTCCTAGTTATTCAGTCAGATGATGCCGATTATGATACTAAAAGTACATTTGAATGTACAGTACAAAAAATGGATTTGCTAATAACTGTGTTATTAAGTTATTAGTGTTTCTGAAGACCCTCTGTGGTGAAAATAGGGTTTATAACATTGTTTACATATCTGTCTGGTGGTATTAATATGACAAACCTTGTGCAAATTCATCAGTCAACACCATGGCTTTGCATTTTCCCCTTAACTGCAGTGTAGCCTACCAAAGTCTCAAAAATTGTGGCATGAAACTGCCCTTTCTTCACAAATGTGTAACTGATCCTGTCAACTTGCAGCAAAGTGTTTCTACCAAAGTTTGAAATTATTTTTGAAATGGCGAACTGGAATATGGTTTTTGTAACATATTAGCTGTTTGATAAGTTAGTCAAGCCAAAGGCTACTGATATCAATTCCTGTTTTGTGTCCAACGTTGTAGAGAGCATTACATTAAGATGCATTAATAGTCTGATACATCAACTTATAGATGACCTGCTATAATAAGCTCTTCCTCTTCTTCTTCAGAATCAGTTTCTGGTTCAAACATATGGTTGAATTCATCAAATACTGGCACTTGCCATTGTGTAGCATTTTCTACTTCAGTTAACTGAGTGAACGTGACGCAGCGGGTAGTCCGAGCTGGTGTGATTGAGTGGAGGCAGGGACTAATTTGCATATTCTTGACCCACGTATACTAAATAAAGTGTGTATTATTCAAGTTATATTCAAGCCAATTTATTTTTAAAGGGAAAAATAACATTTAAGTAGGTAATTTTGGTTATCAAAGATGAGTTTTAAGGGATCAAATTAGTAACGGCAGTGGGACTTTAAAGATAATTTTAGATGGCACAAAGGTGATCTAAACAAAAATAGATGAAAATGAGCATGAACAATTAAACACTCAATACCGATCAATGCAACCTCTAATATCAATACCTCATGCAATTGCTCATTCATTTTAAGAATATTAATTTCTATCAAATCATTATATTACAGTGTGATTACAGCATCAGGTTTTATATAAATATGTTAATAAGAGTAACTTATCTGAATAACTTTTATCAGGTCTTAACTATGAACATTTTGAGCACTCAAGCTGTGATGGACTGACAGAGACGTAGCTCTGCACGCACTGAAGTGTTAATAACAAGGTCTATTAAAAATTCATTTCACAGCCATAAGTTATTACCGCATGCCTGATGTGATGTTGTCCTGGTTAACAACATTGCTCTGAGCTCATCGTGAATGCCTCTTGCTAGCTGCCTTTGTGTCTGAAATTACTGAAGGGAATCACCTTTATAGGGACATCTAAGTAGAAACATTTGAGTTTTGGTGATTTACTAGTTGGCGACGACCGAGTTTTTTTATTAGCAATTATACGAAAAGAAATATTGGGGTATTTTATATTAAAAAGCCCATTTCGATACACTTCAAAATATGACACTTTCAAAAACAGCACGACAAAGAGGGTGTGTTCAAGCAATGAATCTGCGCAGGCTGAACAGCTACCAAACCTCATCTGTATAAAACAGGTTGATTTGTCATTAGTGAAGATTTCCACCATATATAAGGCTTTTCTAAAACTTCTGGATACATTTTATACCACTGTAAATGTTAATAAACCAGAAAGGGCTTTTTTTAGTAAATAGGTACTGCAATGTTGACAGTGAAAATACTGATTTTGCAGCTCTGTGTACAGTAATGTTACTGTTATCATGAATATCATATCAAGGAATTCAATTAGAAAGTTATAAACTGACGTTTTATGAACCAAGGATGTTAATTTATTCACATGGTACTGTCAGCTAATATAAACACAGGCTCTTGACTAACAAAAACCTGATAATTTGGACTCAGGAATGCAATATTTATCTATTGTGTTAAACAACGGAGCTGCCAGATGTTTCTTTAGCCCAGCTAGTACCACATATGCTAATGTTTAGACACAGTAGACCAAGCCAGCAAGATGTTATGGTCTACTATGTGATACACAAAGCATGTCGATTTCCAGAAATGACCCTCTAGATAATGAAAGCCAGATGCTGCAATTGCGCAAAAAGAGAGGAATGACGACTCACTTTGGGAAGAAATTTACAATCCTTTTTCCAGCAGGCAAGACAGGCACTCAGATGGGTGGTCTGCAGCTCTCTGCATCCTTCTCTCCTCCTCCTCCTCCTTTCTTCAGCCTGCAGACAGAAAGAGGACTTACAATGACATCAGCATTGATAGTGAGCTCTGTCATATAAATATTCACCTTCCCTGTCAGATTATTTGGTTTATACAGGGCAGCTGATGGAAGCAATGTTCCAGGGGCTGTCTGAGGACAAAGGGAGAATGGAGATGAAGGGTGGGGGGTTGGGGGCACGTGGGGAGTGGTGATTAAGATGAACAGAGCTCGGAGCATACACGTAACATAGAGTAGCCGTTCCTCAGCATGCTTAAAGAACGCCTGTGTCTCTGGGAGCTAAATATGGATCCTTGAATATTTAAAGATGTAGTTTTTATCCACAAGTGATGGACCCATGGAAATAGCTCAGCTTGAGAACCACGCTTTTTAAAAAAAAAATGTTGTAATAGCAAATAAAGTATTTTAGCTATGCAGAGAATAAGAGGCATTAAAAAACAGAGAAAAGAAATAATAAAACAAAAATTAAAAGTTGAAAAAAAGTGTTGTTTATTTTTAGACTCAGCTCTTATTGGTAACTAAAACTAATAAAAAACAAAAAATTGTTTATTAAAAAATTGTTAACGGAAATGAAGATAAACATAAAAATAAATATAAGAAAAAAATGAATCTAAAAATAAACAGATGAAATATTAAAAATATTGCCTTGGCAACTAACTGACACAAAAGTTTAAGTACTAAAATTACTAAAACTTAAATAAAAAATAAAGAATGACAAAAACACATAAAATAATAAATTTAAAAAATTTAAAATTAAAACGGAAAATATAAAAAGAAATCTTATTAAAGTATATAAATATTAGAAGCTTAACCCTGGGTATATTGTCAATGTCCAGTGCAATTTATTAAAACAATTTATTTTAAAGAAATCATTTAAAATCATGAGCTAAAAAATTAGTCAATTAGAATGCTATTCTTTTTCAGTGTTAACAAATGTGGGCATGGGTTTAGGTTTTGCAAAAGAGATCTAAAGTTTATAACTGGATCAAACTAGTCATGAGTGTAATCACAGCCACTGCTCATAGATGTGGAGGAAATTCTGGGAACCACAAGCAGTGTATATAAACTAATCAAATAAAAGAAATGGACACTGTGAAGAAAGAACAGGCTTTATTTCTATTTGTCAAATCAGACAGACCTTAACATTTAAATCATTTAAGTTAAAAAGACATTACATCAGTAGTTACCTTGGAATTTTAGGTTCCTGCAACAAAATATGCAACAGATCATTGTTGTTCTATACACAACTCAGCAATTCTGCACAATTCTGACCTGCTTATGAGACATTCATAAATAAAAACTGTTACATTTTACTATGTACAAAGAATACGTTTGAAAAGACAGCATTTTATTAGCATTTCTAACACATCTGATACGCCTCATTGCACATTCCCTTAGAAATGTAGTTTAGTTACATTTGGGGCCATGGTGCTGCATCATTAAAACATTGTAACATATATAAATGATGCAGCTTTTAACAGACCACACATCAAGCATTTGAGTAAACAGTTATGTTTTGCCAGTCTGAGGAAATGGAGAACATTTTGAAGACCATTTAATACTGACCAAATATTGTAGCTTGCGCAACCCTGTGTCAGAGTTGGGGCACTGAAATGGGGATATCCGGGAAAGATTCACTTCCTTTGATTGGGACAGAGCATGGAGCTATGCCAAAACAGAGGATTTTAAAGTGCATTAAAACAAAACGCAATATTAATGGCAGAAAAAGAAACACATCCTGATAGTTACAGTCAGATTTCAGTAGCATTGAGTAAACAGTCCTAGATTAAAGAAAACTTTTACTATCAACATGTAAAGGCAAAGTCACCTATAACATCACAGCCTGCTGCTACTGATTTTTAATGCTTGAATTATAACTTCCAAAGCAAACGTGTCGGCACCAACGTATATCTGCAATATCAAAGCTTATCCCTCTTACAGTATAGTTCCCAAAAAGATTGAATGGCTAGTGTGAACATGAACATTTGATTGTTTAGTATTGACGGAAATTGTTTTCATGGATCGCGGAGGTAGGAAGTGAGTTGGAACATAAACAGAACTCACTTAGATGTGAAATAGTGAAACATTTTAAGCCTTCACCACTATTATGATTCACTTGTTTCTTCGTAAAAAAACTCAAAGTGCCAACATGCCTGATTTCATCTGATTTTTAGTGTGAATTATTGGGATATAGTGGAGTAGGGTGACAGGGAAAGCTTCTTTGAACATGCAGGTACTAAGTTCAAGCCTTATTTTGCCTAGGCAGACATCAGCAAAGAGCTCTAACAAAGATTTGAATGTGTCCTGCGTGATGCATTATGTATTTACCTCTGCACTACTGAGAAAGGCTTAAGTCACTGCCCTTAGTCCCACTGACAACAGAAACAAGCATATCACCAGCGCACATGAGTGAAGCTTGTTCATGAATGTTGAATAAGTTTTATGCGTGTATCTGATAGCAGATGTATTCACTTAATAAATAAGACACTTTCCTACACTAGGAGAGCTCTGTCAGAAATAGCAGATGTACAGAAAGGCTCACAAAGTGCTTGTGAGACAGAAATGTAAGCGTAGTGCGTAACGGTCATCCACACAAGGGTCTTCATTACCTACAGCAGAGCAAAGAAACAAAGAAGATCTATCAATAACAAATTAATGTTTTATGCCTTATTAAATATGACTATTTTATTTTTGGAGCTTCTCTGTCCCTTAGGATGATTTTACAGGAAAGAAGTTTGATATTTTACTTTCAAAATCATGCAAGGGGACTATATATTAATCAACACATTTTTCAAAATGTGAAATATATCATTATACTCGCGTTACCATCTCACACACACACACCATCAAAAAAACTACATTACACATTATACCAAAATCCACCTGAAAATCAATGAAAACCTTTATCAGATCTAGTATTAAATATTTGAATGAAGATGAAACCAAGTTCGAAGAACTTGAATTTTTCAGGATTTCAAGTAGTAAAAGTTCCCCTATAACTGAAGAATCATTGTAACTCTCTTATGACACACACAAGGGTGATGTATTTATTTAGTGATGAATCAGCCTGTCTGCACCATACACTGATGAAACATGTCTGGCATTAATGATGCTAGAGCTTTTCTCAGAACTAACTTCACTTTCTCAGACTAGAGGATGTATAAAGGGTTCCCCTCAAGTTCATACAGGTGAACCAGAAGAGTAGATATAGGCCTAATATACCGTTTTAACTACATACATATTCTATAACATTTAAAAACCAAAAGGTGGCTAAATACTTTTAGTGAAATTATTTTGTTTGAAAAGCATGTTTGTGCTATTTGTTTTAAATAAATGATACTTGGTTTGACATTTTATTATAGAATGAGAAGAAATTCATTACCATCCATTCAAATAATTCTAATATGCTCATTTAGTGCTCAAGTTACATTTATTATCATCAATGTTTAAAACAGTTCTTCTCAATTCTTTGAAGAATAGAAATTTAAAAAGAAAACAAATGATTTAAATAGAGATAATTTGTAACATTGTAAATGCCTTCTATAATTATAAATGTCACTTGTGTAGTGTATATATGAGGTAATTTGCTGAATTAAAAAAAAAAATAATAATAAAATAAAATCTTACTGTCCCTAAACTTTTGGAAAGTACTGTAGTATGCATAACACATACAAGTGTGGCTTAGTGTTTTAAATACTTTTGTGGTTATTCTAAGTGTCTCACCATTTCAGAGGGCTCTGGTCTCTGCCTCTATCTTCCTCTCACCATGCGTGTCAGTGTCTGGGGGGCTGATTGTTTGCCGCACTGCAATCTCTGGCCCACCGCCATAAATACTTAACAAGTACTGCCACGTTTCTTCAGATATCTGCCCATAGTCTGCTCCTACAAACCAAGCCATAGATAATGAATTATATGCAAACACACGCATATGCGTGTCAGACAAAGTTTTGAAACACAAGATGAGTCACAGACATGTCAATTTGACACACACAAACAGTCCATACCTTGTTTAAGCTGGATATGTCCGCCTTTCATTACTGCAATCTTGCTGTTGTCAATGGGGCCTGGCAGCTCTAAACCAGCAGAGAGAGACAGAGAGAGAAAGAGGGAAGGAGAGATTAAAAAAAATAATGACCTTTACAGTGCATAAGCAAACATTCCCTTGAAAATACAGAGGGTGGTCTTGGCAGAGCTAACAAGAAGTCTCGCCATTGGTTTGAGTCGATGTTGCCATGTCAGGCTGGTCAAAACACTCAAACAAACAGAGCAATGTTTTAAGTGTTTTTCAGAGACGCAGTGTTTACAATTTTTGGGGAGTACTATAACATCAGAAAAATGTACCTAAATGTAACATGGACTTTTGCAAAGCATTTTACACAAAGCCTTAAAAGGACAGTTCACCAAAAAATGAAAACACTGTCATCAAAGTCATTCAACTTGAATATTTTTTCTTTTCTCTGTGGAACACAAGAAAAATATATCAGCAAGAAATTGGCCTAATAGTAAAAGTTAATGGAACATATTTTTGAAATATCTATCAAGTCAGCATGTACTGGAAATTGTGATTGACTGTTCTTCTCTATTATGACATAAAATGCGAGTGAAGGGCATCTCAAACAAGACAAATAAAGAACATCTGTCCACCAGGAAATGACTGAATTGTTGTCATTTGCTACTTATTGCGAGCGTTTCATGTGAGTGACAAATTGCTGGAGGAAAGGGATTGCAACTCATCAGGCCATTGGACAACCTAATTACCCAGCCCTCACGCTCACAGAGCTCATAAAAAAATGTGCAAGGATAAATTATTTGTAATAAATACTGCAAATTTTCCACAAAAAAAAAAAAAGATTTGTCAATGTTGATTTCACTTTAAAAATGTTCAAATACAAATAGAAAATGTCGCAATGGTCACAAAGTATAACCAGACACTTATATACCTCCCTCAGGTCATTGAACTAAATTCCACAGATTGCATTATTTATTTTGCTGCATATTTTCTGAGATAAAAAAAAAGTTTCATGTTTCTTGAGATGTGCATTACTCTGTTTGTATCAGACTGTACCGTTGTCTTTGCCCTTGACAAAGTTCTCCCATTCTCTAAACCACTGCATGCTGATACACAGGATGACTGTAGGCGCTTCTTCAGCTTGAAACTCCTTATTTAACTATAGACAGTGAGAGAAAAAGAGAAACCGAGATAGAGATATGTGGATTATCAAACTCCCTTGAACCAATCTGAGCATTTCAGCATTTGACTGAATTGTATTATATAGCAATTAAATTTTTATATGTTACTCTTATGTTCCCCTTGCAAACCTGAGGAGTTTCATACAAGACCTCTAGATATTTCCAAAGCTTTAAAACATGTCTGATTCAAAGCTAGTGGTGCATCTCACAGATGCTGCACTTCTGATTAGGGCTGGACGATATGGAAAAAATGTATATCACAATATATTTCTTAATTTCGGTCGATACAATATAATTCCGATATTATTGATATGAACACTATTAAAAAAAGTCTATGAAACCTCTTCCTATAAAACTATTTAATTTTTTAGGAAAAAAATTCAAACTATTGGCTAACATACCAGTCAAAATTTTTGTACAGTACGATTTTTAATGTTTTTTAAAGAATTCTCTTCTGCTCACCAAGCCTGCATTTATTTGATCCAAAATACAGCAAGAACAGTAACATTTTGAAATATTTTTACTATTTAAAATAACTGCTTTCTATTTGAATATATTTTAAAATGTAATTTATTCCTGTGATTTCAAAGCTCAATTTTTAGCATCATTACTCCAGTCACATGATCCTTCGGAAATCATTCTAATATTCTGATTTGCTGCTCAAAAACATTGTTGAACAGCATTTATCTGAAATAGAAATCTTTTGTAACATTATAAATGTCTTTGATCACAGCAATAAATTACATTTTAAAATATATTCAAATAGAAAGCAGTTATTTTAAATAGTAAAAATATTTCAAAATTTTACGCTTTTTGCTGTACTTTGGATCGAATAAATGCAGGCTTGGTGAGCAGAAGAGACTTCTTTAAAAAAAAAAAAAAAATAAAAATCTTACTGTTAAAAAACCTTTGACTGGTAGTGTAGGCTGATTATTCTTATAGATTGAAACAAATGTGCTTCATCCAGGATACAGAGTATGAAAAGTGCTCTGAGTTGCTGCAGAAAACAAAACAAAAAATAAGCAACAACAAAAACGTTGCTGGAGACGGGCTTATTATTACAAATGCAAACTGATTCTCTGCCAGCAGGAGGCGCTTTGAGAGCGGTAGAACCAGAGGCTTCACCGGTAACGGCTGTAATCAAAGCAGCTCCGCTCATGAACGCTACTTTATCAGATAAAATAAAAATGCTTTCGAAACTTTTATGAAGACAGTCGGTTCCCTTTAGAGATACATTTATATAAAACACCCGCGCCGCGTTTTGATTTTGAAACGTTCAGTGCTCATGTTTATTTAGTCAAACGCCACAAATAAATCAATGTATGGGAAACACTGGTAATGTATATCGAAATATCAGAAATCTGTTTAAAAATCATATCACCGTTATTGAAAAAAATTATATCGCGATACATATTGATATTGAATTATTGTCCAGCCCTACTTCTGATAAGATTGCAGTGCAGATCACACCCTTGATCTGTCCAGCATGCAGTCTGTGTTTCATCAATTCTCTGGCTTTTACGAGCACCAAACACTTCCAAGAACATTATGCTCCTTCCAAGAGGAGTTTCTACACCATGTTACATAAAAATGCTGTAGCTCTGAGGACATAACCTAGAAGAACAGAATTCAAATACGCTTAATCCCCATCTGTGATTGACAGTGAGGGTTGTGGTGATAAGTAGTCATTGTATACTTTTAAGTGGGTTACAATAGTTGGCAATACTCAAGCAGGCACTAATTTGTCTGTACTTGGATGTCACTTGAAGTAATTTGCTCACCTTTATAAAGGTGTCTATCTCCAGTTTCCGCCGTTTGGCTAAAGTCTCGATCTCTACTTGGCAGATGGCACACACGTATAAGTGATTCACGGCCGGGCCTCCCCCAAACCTGTGAAAAATGTTTCAAAACATGACGAAACATTCAAAGCATGGCCAGTGAAAAGAGCAAACACATAGCCCAACAATGTTTACATTGAACTGCTGGTGGAGTTCCTTGCACATGACATCAGATGTCTTGAACCGACAGAACTCCATAAGCATTTTGTTAGTTCAGGGTTGGACTGAGATTTTATTGACTTCACCAGATCAAAAGCTTAAAAGTCATACCATATTCCACTAATTTGGTAAATGTCATGAGGACTCCCTAAAGGTCAAAAATGTGCATTGCTACACTCTAAAAAATGCTGGGTTGTTTCAACCCAACTTTGGGTCAAATATGGACTAACCCAACTTTTGGGTTAAAAATGTAATATAAAAATTTAACCCAACGGTTGGGTTAGTACATATTTGACCCAAAGTTGGGTTGAAACAACCCAGCATTTTTTAGAGTGTATGCATGACTCACCTGTTGTAGAGATATTCCCACACATTTTGGGGAAGGATCACAACCAGATCATCCACATAATGGTACTTGGTAGGAGGGATTCCTGTATAAAATCACACCTGAGTTTAGTTTTTACTGCTTACAGTAAGTGAAACAGTTTAAAAATCCACCAATGTGCACATTATGGGGGGATATACCAGGCTGAAAATTACCTATTAGTCGTAACTGACAAAAGTGGATGATTTTCTTGCACCAAACCGTGGAGCTCATTGTGTCGCTTGCCCGATATTTTTTAAAAAGACTTATTTAGGTATAACCTTAATTTAAAATACTGAAAATGAAGATTACAAAATTAAACTGCATCATATTTTTGAGTTTACAGTAGAAGTACCAGAGGTATATATTTTAGGTTTAGATAAGATGGCCTTTGAATATTGTCTCAGAAGAAGGGGGGCCTTACCAGTCAAAAGGGCTGAGAACCACTGCTCTATGTGAAAAACTCACATAAAAACATGTATACACTGAATTCGGTGGCTTAATGTAATTAATAGTTCACATATGAGTCATCACATAGAGCTCTAGAGGAGGGAAAAAAACAAACTTCAGCCATCCTAGATAAACTTCTGAAGGTACATTTTCCACTGAGGGAAAAAAATGCTGTAAAAAGATGTGTGAGTTGTGACGGCTCAAATCTGTTGATTTGAGAAGAAACACAAACATTTACACTATAAGACTATGTCCTTGATTTATTCTTTTATGTCACTTATGTTAGGCAAAAAAAAAAAAGTTAATTTAATTTAATGTGATAGTTCACCCAAGAATAAAAATTCTGTCATTAATTACTCACCCTCATGTCATACTAAACATGTCCATTTCTCATAGCTTTATAAAATGAAGGTTGAACCACTGATGTCACATGGACTGTTTAAATGATGTCCTTACTACCTTTCTAGGCCTTGAACATGGTAGCTGTGTTGCTGTCTATGCAGGGTCAGAAAGCTCTCAGATTGCATAAGAAATATCTTAATTTGTGTTCTGAAGATGAACAAAGGTCTTATGGGTTTGGAACGACAGGAGGGTGAGTAATTAATGACAGAATTTTCATTTTTGGGTAACTATCCCTTTAAATTATCCATATTGCGTCATCTTACATCCGTTATCCACCATATACTGTAGCCAGTAAATCCATTAACTTACTATCTTCATTCTTGCACAGTAATCACAGCCATGTGTATAAAAAAAAAAAACAAGTCACTGTCCTTACAGCAGCAAAGTTTATGACAGAGCAAGACTCAGCAGTGCCCCCCTAAACTCTTCTGAACTTATTGTGTAACACAAACCTTGATGTAAATAAATTAATACTTCCTAAATAAATCCACTTAAATTAGATATACATCAGAGTATTAGTGTGTGATTGTACCTCCATGCTGACAGAGGAAAGTGTGGTTGGTGATGGGTCCGGGCTCAATAAATGTGTTGAACTTGTTGAGCCATTCTCTGGAGATGTAGAACTGCAGCAGACCGGGCTCCTTTAAATTAGCCAGAGCAACAACCTTCTGTCTTTCTCTCACAGATTCTTCACTGCTCTTCCTGAAAGAGAAATTAACATAAAATTACAATAATTTTTGCTTTCACTCCATGTCATAAAACAAATACCAGTATATAATAGACATTCTTGGAACCAATCCAAATGAATTTTTGTATTTTGCTGGTGATTCATTATGGTGCACGCCACGGCAAGTCACGTGATGCCAACATGGCGGCTTCAATGAAGAGGCAACCCACTCCATGTACAATAAAAAAGCTATCATTAGGCTACTGATATAACTGCAGTCTTCTGCTTATGTTAATGTTAGGGATGTAACGATGCACCATAAGCTGGTTGACAATCGATAAAAATGTGATGAATCAAATCGGTTGAGATGTTAAATGAAATGTGAAACAGTTGGGAGTGGGGTTCTCTTGAGGGGAATTGACTGTCTTCAGAAAAAGTTTTGATTTTTCGGCATTTTCTTTTCATCATGTCTCTGTATAATGCATATTAAGGTAATGTTTATAAGAGCAGCGCTGCTTTGTTTACACCAAGCAAACCCTATATCTATAAATAAGAGCTGTTCCATAAGCACCACCTGTTGTCAGAGAGTGAATTTGCATCTCATTCAGCCTGTCTGCCGCTTTTATTTCGTGCAGATGTTTTATGTAGCATAATTTCACAAAGCTAAAGTCAGAGCATAATGTTTTTGCTTCAAATTTTAAAATTCTAATTTAGATTAAAAACTGCTCATGCTGCATGTATGCAGCATCTTTGTTTGGATCATGATTCAAATACAGTGGTTGCCTCTAATTTTAAATGGAAAGGCAAAGCCTTAGTTTGTTTGTATGAAGAGATTTCTTTTATTTGTATTAATTATTTATTTGATTTGGGATTTGTTTTAAAATTCAGTTTTGTTTTGACATATTTCAATTTCACAAAGAAATGTGCGGCATTTTGTCTGAGAAATAATAAAAAGACACCTTTTTATGTATAATTTGTCTTAAATCTCATTTTGTTAAAAATCATAAGAAATTGAATCGTGAAATCATATTGAGTGAATCGTCATATCCCTAGAGAATGTACATTGTTTTACTCATATTTTTCAAAATTACTCTTCATTTTACTGTGTGTAAAACAGTTTAAAGGCATGACAGATCTTCTGTAGTATCTGAGTGAAAAGGAATATTTAAAAAAAAGTAGGGCAGAACTTTGTTCTATCTGTTGATTGGAAATTGTAAGAAAAGGGGCGGGGTTTAAGCAGACTAAATGATTGGGAAGAGTGTTGGGAAAAATTAGTTACAACATCTTGAAAAATTACGAAGACACATTTCGAAAAAGCATGAATTTCCATTTCACCATAACTTTAATGAGAAAAAAAAATTTACTGAGTGTGCTAATCACAAACATTACAAGGTCAAAAAAAGAAGTGTACCTGTAAAAGAGAACATATGCTTCAGCGTTCTGCACTACTGTCTCATGAACTTCTGTTACATACTGATCGTCAAACTCATACCACTGTCCATTGATCACATTCTGACAGTATGCTATGTAGTGACCACCTGTCGAACACAAAAAACATTATTTCACTCAAATAAAACTACAAACAAAATAATGTCTACATTCTCATCTGGGAAAAGTGCCAGTGATGAATGAATGCCAATTCATATCTCAAAATCTCAAAGCTTCTGCTACAATTTATTTCGCAAGATTACACAGAAGTAACTTACTCCCAGCAGTGCCGTGATGACAGATGACAGACAGCAGGTCGAAGGTAGTAATCTGAGATGGGCTCTCCTTAGCCAAGAAGGGCTTAAGATCCAAACACTCCAAAGGGAATGACACGTGGCTATTTATCTTGAATGAGTACATGACTTCATGCCTGAAACGCTTCAGATGAATGCACAATATCTGAAAAGGAGATGACACACATTCAAACTCACTAGGAATACAAGTTGTATTGAAAAGAGCAGTAAATGACTAAATGTAAATGTAAAATGAGCACTTACTTCTGGCAGACGCAGAACTTTACAATATTTCACACCATTTCTCAATCTGGGAAACAGGTAGAGTAAATAAGCTCATGTTTCATCAACTAAACATACAAACCACAGCTACAGCATGATTTTGGCTGTAAAAACATAAGAACTATTTAAATTAGACTATTAAATATTTACACAGCATAGCAACTACTACATTTTTACATGTTGATCACACACATTTTAGGAATCTTACTTTTTACATCGCTCACAGCTGTACATGTTGTCTCCTGTTTGGCAGAAAGAAAATAAACATCAACCCAGGGTTGACAAGCAGTGGAACAGGTAATATTCATTTTTTTCCATCTTATCTATCTCACCCATATTGCACATTCAGAAACGTCAAACATGATGTGCTTACCTTTCAGCTCATCAGCAGCAAAGAAGGCTGCCAGGCAGTCCTCCAGCATTACCATTGGGCCCCAAAACCAACTGGGAATACACGACACTACAAACCTGCATAAACACATATGTTTATATTAAAAGATCAATGTCTGTTTTCAGGGCAATTACATTGTTTTACATTCAGCTTTTAGTAAACACACTAACGTTCAAAAACTGACACTAAAGACTTTTGTTTCAAAAAAATATTTTACACATTCTATTCATCAAATAATCCTGAAAAAAAAATGCTTTCCGCAAAAATATCGACCAATTAAGAATTTCACAATGATTTCTGAAGGATCATGTGACACTGTACGGAGTAATAGTTGCTTGAAAATTTGTTTTTTACTGTATATTTGATTAGACAAACATAACCTTAGTGATTTGGCAATCATACCAAAACTATTTTTTGAACTATAGTGGAATTTATTGTCAAAGCCTTATTTTGCTCTTTCCGCATCTTGATCATTCTCTGCCACATCACTCTCTCGCTATACCTTCGTATAGATTCCATGATGTAGGAGATCCAGCCCTGGGTGGCATAGCCTTCTGTGCAGACACCAGCTTTAACAGGAGCACTCTGGTGGATGGAGGAATGGAGTTTGGCCAAATCCTCTTTACCCGGAATAGGCAAAGAGAGGTCCTGAAAGGTCTCCACGGTTGTTGAAACCTACAAAGGCAGATATTTTCTTTGAAACATTGCTCTTTCTGCAGTCTCACACATACCATTCCCTTAAAATATATCCATGGGTACATAACATTTGGTTTATGTGATATGAACACTGTTTGTGCAGCTATACATTGCAGTATTCTTCGAGAAGCGATATGAATTGAAAGTGGAGCTTCTCAGAAACTACATGGTGCATGAAGATCTTGCAGTTTTTAATGCATTTTTAAGTGTAATGAAAGTGATTTGATGCTTAGTGCCCTCTAGAGACAGAAAAACTCCTTGCATCCTTCCTCACCCTGTCACATGTCAAACACTGAACAAGACTCAGAATGGATCCGTCAAAAATATCTGAAATAACACTGCGGAAACGGGACTGCTTCTTCTTCTTGGTGCTTAGGAGCATCTGAGCTATAGGACAAACAATCATGACGGTTATTCAGTGCAAAGCAAAGTACAACTTTTTGTTTTGTTTTGTTTTACATCTATGCTGTATTTAGTTATATGAGAGAAGCAAACCTTTCTTGAACGTATAAGTGGGTCCAGCTCTGAGGGGGCTGGATCTTGGTGGGCTGCTGGAGAGTCTGGAGTGGAGTTCCTGCACACTGTGAGTGGGGCTACAGGGACGAGAGGATGAACAATGCATGGAGGCTTCATTATCAGGTTCTGCAATAAAAAGAGGGATCAGGAAGTGAGACGATTTATATATTTTTAAAGAATTATATTCCCATTCATAAACTACTAAACATAAACTACCTTTTAAAAGTCGGGAGTGAGTATGATTAATACTTTTAAAGGGGTCATCGGATGCCCATTTTCCACAAGTTGATATGATTCTTTAGGGTCTTAATGAAAAGTCTATATCATAGTTTGGTTAAAATTTCTCAATGGTAGTGTAAAACAATACCCTTTTTACCTTGTCAAAATCAGACCCCGCCCCTCTCTTCTGTGGGGTGATGAGCCATGCTCTGAGAGACTGTTTATGAGTAGTTCACTTCCAGAACAAAAATTTACAGATAATGTACTCAACCCCCTTGTCATCCAAGATGTTCATGTCTTTCTTTCTTCAGTCGTAAAGAAATTATGTTTTTTGAGGAAAACAGTTTAGGATTTCTCTCCTTATAATGGACTTCTATGGTGCAACATTTCATTACACCAAATACACAAAATAATGTTCTTTTTAGCAGCATCATATGACCCCTTTAAGGATTAAATAAAAACCACTGGGTGGATTTTTATCATTATAGGGTAGATGTGCACACACACTGCCAACACACATTTATGTTCAAAAGACATGTAAAAGTGAATTTAGCATCCAATGACCCCTTTAAACAGGAAAGATGCATTGAATTAAGCGACAGAAAAGACTATATTTCTATTTTAAATAATTGCTGTTCTTTTGAGCTTTCTTTTCATTAAAGAATCTTTAAAAAGGATCATGGTTTCCACAAAAATGTTAAGCAGCACAAATGAAGATTTTTTTATTTTATTTCTGAAAGACACTGAAGACTGGAGTAATGGCTGCTGAAAATTCAGCTTTGCCATCACAAGAATACATTTTAAAAATATTAAAATAGAGAACAGATTCTAATATTTGTAATATAATTTCACAATATTACTGTTTTTGCTGTATTTTTGCAGTCTTGATGGAATTCTTTCAAACACACACACAAAAATGTTGGTAGTGTAAGACTATAAGAACATCATACCTGTATTTCCTGGTGCCGGCACATGTGTGGTTGCAGTTGTTGCCTCTGTTTCTCTCTCTGCCTGTCCTTCTTGTGCAGTCGTGTCCACATCTGCATCCTCGTCCATTTCCCGTGTCCTCTCTTCTCCTCTTCTCTCCTTCAGTCTCTCTTTCTCCGAGATTCCTCCATTTCCTCTCACTCCCACACATTCATCTTGGATGAGCAGCTCTGCTTCTCCTCCAGCTCTCTCTCCATCTCCTCTCTCGCTTCCTGATCCAGAGTCACACGACAGGAACTCGTCCTCAGAGGGGCTTCGGTCTCCATCGACATGATTACGGCTGTGGTCAGGCTCGACATCTGAGATTGCACCACTGCAGACGGTCAAAGGCTCCTTCAGCTCCTCATGAAGTTGGTCCATCAGACATCGCAAAAACTCCTGAGTGTCCTTAAAAAGACAGAAGCAAGGAGTGTTTACTTTACAAAAATACTATGGGGCTTATATGATAGTATTACAATCTGCATAATAATCTCCATATCAGTGTTGTTACTGTTAACTTAAACTAAAATATTAAAATTGTTTTGGTCAATTGAAAAAGATGAAATAAAATATAAATGTTAGACAATATATGTACACTTAAAAAATGAAACTTAAAAACGTTACATTGGCAAATGATCTGAATAAAATCTTATGTTTATGTTGAAGTACTAAAATGATTAATAATACAACTGAAATAAAAAATTAATTAAAACAAATATTTTAAAAACTCAAAATGACAAAAGCGCCTAAACAAATTAATAAAACATAAATGTCAAAATAAAAGCCATTTTAAAATATGAATAATTACTATAATAGTATATAAATAATACTTCAATTACTCTGCTTTATATACCTGTTGAGCGTAGCCACGAAACATGGGGTTCACCAGTTTGATTCCATGAAACAGACTAGTGGGCACAACATAACTTGGCCTTGACAGAGTTAAAAAGAAACCAACAGAGAACGACAAGATTCAGATAATTAGGACCAAGCTCAATAGATTAAGATTAAGTTAGCTAGAACTGGCCAGGTCTAGGTTAACAGTTTTGACAAGTCAGTACTTGTTACCGTTTCTTGTGCCAGAGCTCAGATATAAGCTTCTGATAGCTTTTACACAACGCCGGCTTCTTATCCGTACGGACCAGCCCACTGCAATCCAGGAAAAACTGAGTCAAAGGAGGACTGGAGAGAAAAATAGAAAGAAACAGGATACATGGAACCGAAAAATAAACCAGTGAAATCAGTCAAGCTTCCAATTTGTGTTGTCTGAATTATGCTTATTCATGCTTCACAAGTTGTGAGCTCACCAGTTGGAGAGGGCCTGCAGTGCAGCATTCATGTAACAGGAGTTCCCAATGTTCTTCATCCCTGTGAGACCTTTGGCATGTGAAACAGAATCTTAACTGTTACACATAACCACTGACAATGAGATCCAATTTAATTCAGCTTACTTCCATTAAGCCTTCTCATATTAAGAGAACAGAAAAGGTAATTGACTGGTTATTTGTTATTATAGACATTATTCAATCTGCTCCTTTAAAATGTTGCATAAGCAGGACTTAATAGTCATCTGTTAGTAAATATATAAGTTACGGAAAAGGTCATTTGAAAAATCCATACTGACTGACAACTACTATGAATATTTGGGGTCACTTAAATTTTTTTAAAGAAATCAATACTTCTACTCAGGAAGGATGCATAAATGTTGTTATTTGAACTTTACATTCATCAAAAAAAAATCTCAAACAAGTATCAGTTTCCACAAAAATTTTCAACATTGATAAAAGTAAGCAATGTTTCATGAGAGCCAAATCACTTTCTTGAGTTTCAAATGTTTTTGAACACCAAATCAGAAAATTCAGCTTTGCCATTTCAGAAATAAATTGCATTTTTCAATATATGTAAATTAAAAAAAAGGTCTTTAATTGTAGTCATATTTCAAAATATTGCTGTTTTTCTTAAATCTGTTTTTCAGTCAAATAAATGCAGGTTTGGTGAGCATAAGGGACTTATTTCAAAATCATTAAAAAATCGTATCAATCTTAAAGGGGTGGTTCACTGGGTTTTTTCTAGGCTTGATTGTGTTTATGGGGTGCAGTCTAACATGTGTTAATGCCAGTGTGTTGTGATTTGCTAAACCGCCTCTAGTGCGCGTCTAAATGTCCCGCCCCTCACCTCAGCGGCATGTGCTCCGGTTGTATTGTAAACAGAGGATATTGAAGAGGATCGTGCAGAACCTGTGCAAGCATGGCTTTTAGTGGTAGGCCTATGTTTTTTGTTTGTTGTTGTCTCATACTTTTAGATATGCTGTTGTAAATGCTACTGCTTATGTTAGCTTTTAATATACGGTTTTATCCTGATTAAAGCTTTAATACAGTACAGCAACCGCATGCGCATCCATGTTTAATGCTTCTCATAGCTATGTGAAAATAAGTGTATAATTGGAACAGTTCATTGTCGGAGCTGAGCTGAATGAAAGAGAGAGAGAGAGAGATGCAGAGCGTGTGCAGAGCAGGGGGACGTGAGGAACAGTATTAAAAACCGCTGCTTTAGAACATTGATTTTGAAACTTGTGAATCCATTAGAATCGTTAGAAGACAGAATCGCGATTCATATATGAATAGATTTTTACGTGCACCTCTAGTTTTCTCTTCCTCTTCTCTAAAGCAGCGCAGCATGGCCTCTCCCCCTTTGCTGCCTTTTCCCGAGGGCGGGGTTCAAATCAGGGTTTGTGATGTCACGAACCTGGGAAGTAACTTGTTGTAGTCCCTACCAGCCGTTTTTGTCGGCATTAAACTGCCAGAATTTTAAAAGACGATATCTCCATTTGCATTGAACTTTCAGCTTCGTAACTTTGCAGATATTTTTTATGCTCAAACAGCAACATTACACACTAACTAACGTTAAAAAAGTGAAATCGCAATGAACCACCCCTTTAATATTTTCTAGGTGGGTGTCCTTGCCATTTAGACTTTATTAGAGGATTTGAAATACCATGCAATGTGTACTAGCTAACCTGTTGATATAATTATACCTCTAGGTCTGAGCTCATCCTCCTCAGATTCTGAGCCTTCCTCATCCGCCACTGCGATAGGCACTGCTTTTAACGGGTGACATGCTGTCTGGGGAAGAGGATCCTTTGGGGATGAAAAAACAAGAGAATTATGTTTCTTGTATTATACATGTGCTTTATAAATTATTGTGTTTAAATGACATCTTAAGATTGATATTAATAATGCAGGAGACACAGCCAACCTCAACCAGGAAGAACCATCTTAATCTTGTTTACACAATCCTAACAAGCTAAAAGTGCACATTTCTGTGAGATGTTTCAAATAGTCTGATGACTTTACCTGTTCATGTGGTTTGCAGCGGTGAGCTAATGATACAGGAGTAACAGGCTTTGGTTCCAGAAACACCTCCCTCTCACAGACATAACACCACACCCTGAATGTGGTCAAGTTTATTGTCAGATTGTGTTTTTTGGCCTGAAAAAAAGAAGAAAAAAAGATGCACACGTACAAAAGAACAAGAGAAATGATATGGATAATAACTGAACAGAACGAATGCCAGAGAATGGCGTGAATAATTGAATGAATAAGAATGTCACCTGTGCATGTATAGTACTGTGATCAGAATGTGATTCTCCGCAGCCTACATAAGGACAGTCACACTGTGGGGAAAGCAGGACAAAGAGTAATAATTATGATTTTTTTTTCAGGGCCTAGAAATGCATTCTACTTATCTAACATGTTTGCTAGGGAAAAGGCTCCTCACCTGTAGACATGCCCAGAGGTTGGGTCCACCTACTCCACATGACTGGCATGTGCCCTTGAGTAAAAACAATTAGATAAAATTCACTGTGCACCACTCATAACACATTTAATATTAGCACTTAGATATTAGCAAAAGCAATTCTAACCTTTGACTTCTGAATCAGTTTCTCCTTAGTAACTTCACCAATAGAGTCCAAGTGAGGACAAAGATCCCCGCTGTCAGTCATCTTGATTTTCACCTCACTCTATTACAATGCACAAAGAACACTTTGAGAACTACTGGTACAGCATCAACACAATAAACATTGAAAAAATTGAAATGAAATCATCTACTCAGCCTCATGTTGTTTTAAAAATCTAATAACTTTCTCTTTTTTTTTCCTGTGGTGAACAAAAATAAATATTACCATTCACTTTAACTCTATGCAAAAAAGATTCTGTGCAACATCTCCATTTGTGTTCCACAGAAGATAAAAAAAAGAAAATCACACGGGTTTGGAAAAACATCAGGGTGAGTAAATGATGACAGAATTTTCATTTTTTTGTTGAACATGTCCCTTCAAGTATAACCTTCTAATGTACTTACAGTCTCAGTATCAGCGTAATGGAGAACATTTGACATTAATGAATGCATTATTTTAAAAATAACGAAAGAAGAAGTGTGGTATCTAGCAGCGAGTAGCTGTGAGTCTGTGCCTGAAACTCTCAGGAGCCCAAAACTGCTGTTTCATGCGCCTAGCACGACTGAGAAGGATGCATTCACCCCGTATCACCTCGTCTATTGTTACAGTGGGGAAATGCACAGTAATGCATCATAAAGATGTATTAATCCTTGAATCTATTTTTCCATAAGTAAAGAAGCTTAAAAAGAATTCCGAACAGAAAGGGAAAAACAACAACAACAATAATAATAATAATATGAATCGGCCCCACTATTCATCTGAATTTAAAGAATAATATCTCAAAACAAACAGCATCTTTCTGCGTCTACAGTTGCTCTACGTGTCATCGTCAGCCACCTAAAAGCTGTTTAACATCACGATCTTACAGAGTAAACAGGCCATATTTCCACTCGGGCTGCGAGACACTATTCATGCGCTGACGCGACATGATAGTATCTAAGCAAATAAACAGTGACACTCCGCTTCAGCCGAAGGAAAGATAAGAACAAACATTTACCTGTCAGACAGAAACAAAAATAACGCTCATAGATGATCATTTTAGGCCAATCGGTGGTATTTGTAACAGTGATGGGTAGCAGTGCACTAAACAGCATCCATACTGAATACAGCATGAGTGTGCGTCAGCGTCACAGCTTTGACATAGCCAATGAACGCTTTCAGTTCTTTCATCTAATCAAAAACTATTTTTAATTTACTTAAACTTATACATTTTACATGCTGCTTGATTTAGGAGTTGATGTTTTTAATTGTTTTGTTATTATTTTTATTTCGTTTTTTTTTCTTATTTGTCATATGAGTAGCTGATCTTGAACCAGCCTCTTCATCCCCATTTACACCGTTAAACGCTTGTATGGAAAACAGAAGAGCTGACCTCAGATCAGCTGTTAAAACCGTAATTGTGACGTCAGCGGAAGTTTCGGGAAATGTGAGGAAAGCGGTCCGTCGATAAAGACAGACCACTGACGTTGCGTACAGACGTGTGAAAGTGTAAAAAAAACATTAAATAATTCAACGCTTTTTGAAATCATGCCCCCAGGTAAGAATTTTAGGAGGAGGAAGGAATCATCCGACGAGGAAGATGATGAGACAAAAGCCGTGGTCAGGTAGATATGTTTTAACATTAATGCCAAATAGAGTAACGTTAACCGAACATGTCCGTATATAGAAAAGTATTTATGTAACGTTACGTTAAGTGTCACACCCAGACGCCTATTTATATGTGAGAATATATTTAAAAATGTTAAATTCAACCATATTTTCTAAGGTCCAAACTGGGTGAAGCCAAGGAGCTTCAAAGTTTACGAAAAAGGCAGCATGGAGTAAGGTTGGTCACGTGTCTATTTAGAATGCTTTTCATTTTTATACGAATATAACAGTCTTAAACGTTTTGTACATGTCTTATTTTTACGGTGTGTAATTTCCAAGTTTTAATTAATTTATATAATTAACCATTTTAATTAATGTATGCATTCTGCTCCTCCAGCATTGCTACGTTACTTGTAGGAGACAAGCTTCGTTTGGAGGCTGAGCTCGAGGTATGTTTTTTTTTTTAAGCAAACTACATTTTGTATTACAGTGAAGGTCTTGCAGTGTTACAGTAAATGTATGATTTAAGTGGTTAAATATTGTCACTCCGTGTTTTGTGCATTAGGACGACCCATTTAAACTGAAGACTGGAGGTGTTGTTGACATGAAGAAAGTGAAAGACAGAAATCGAGACATGTAAGTGATATGGAACCATGTTTGCTGTTTATTTAAAGTTGATGTCTCTGTATTTTAAAAGTGAAAGAATTAACATTTCCTCTCCACTATAGGACAGCAGATGAAAACGACCTGAATCTTGGTACCTCCTTTTCTGCTGAGACTAACAGACGAGATGAAGATGCAGACATGTAAGTGCATATGTGTCCGTGCAAACCATCTGTATTCTTAATCGTTCTATATGATGCTTGTTTTTGGTAAATTTTGCCTGCATTTAAATGTTTATATCCTCTCTCTCCTTGTATGTTTTTTTCATTCAGGATGAAGTACATTGAGACCGAATTAAAGAAAAAGAAAGGCATGGTGGAGGCGGAAGAGCAGAAAGTGAAGGTGAAGAATCCAGAGGACCTCCTGTATGAGCTTCCAGAAAACATCCGCGTCAGTTCTGCCAAAAAGACAGAAGAGATGTTGTCCAATCAGATGCTGAGTGGAATTCCAGAGGTGGATCTGGGGATAGAGTAAGTAAAGACCAAAACTAATTCAAAGACATTTCCTTTGCTCACATCTGAGATATATCTTTATATTCCACCTAGCTATGGATGTCAGCTTCAAAACCCTTTTTCCCTTTCTTATCAGTGCAAAAATAAAGAACATCATCAGTACAGAAGAAGCCAAAGCAAAGCTGCTTGCTGAGCAGAGGAATAAAAAGAAGGACAGCGGGACCTCCTTTGTTCCCACTAACATTGCTGTGAATTACATCCAGAAAACGCATAATCGCTGTAAGTGCACAAGTATATCTGAACTACCAGCACTTTGTATTTTAAGGTCATGTGCTTAGTGCTCATGAATCAAGAAGTTTGTCACCATAATTATTTATTTTCTTCCCTAAAGGACAAAGATTAAGTAATTTTCTATATATATTTTTTTCTTCAAGTCTATCATGAGGATGTAAACGCTCCCCAGAGACGACACAGAGAAGAACCCAAAGCCAGGCCACTACGAGTAGGAGACACTGAGAACCCATTACCTGAGAGTAAGATCATATCTTATTTAGCTAAAAATAACACATAGAACTGCATTTGTTGGATTTATATTAATGTTTATCTCTTCTCGTTCTCCAGCTTCACCACCCAATTACCGCAAGAGGCCAAATAATGAGAAGGCCACAGATGACTACCACTATGAGAAATTCAAGAAGATGAACCGACGATACTAATCCTCCACCTTCGCTTCACAGCCACCTAGTTGGACACTTTTTTTTTCCCCTGTAAAATGAGAGATGTAAATATTTGACATGCAGTCATAAACATTTTACAATAAAACTCCCCCCAAAACATTGGTCATCTTTGCAAACTTTATAATAGAAGAACATTTTGTTTTCATAATAATGTACTGTGCACCATGTTAATGCATTATATAATGTGTTTCAGTCTGTTCAACAGAATTGATTTATCACTTTATATTAATGAAACTTCATCGTTTTATTAAAGGTTATTTTATTCTACAGACTTTGCTAATGAAATAAGTAATATTATAAACTCTATTAGAGTTACAACATATTTCCTTTCCTCTTAGTTTTTGCTTGAATGTCTTTTAAATGTCTAAAATGGAAAGATTGCCCTAAGGTACCACAGCAATAAAAATATATACATGTAAATGAATGAAAGAAAAAAAAAGAGAGAACAGGTCCTTGGCAGTCACATTTTGAAGAGCATTACAGTGTACATATACTATGAAACATACAATGAAATTTAACAGCTTATTTTGTTACTTAAATAGAGGAGCTAGATTTACTCAAATGTACAGAGCATGTTTACAGAGAAGTCTCCTTTTCTTTTAGCATCCAAAACACCACTTGCTTAAAGTTGTTAAATTACTCAACTTGTATTTTTTGCAGAACAACAATGAAAGTATAGTTGTAATTTTACCCAAAGAGACAATAAATTTAGCCAATAAACAGACACAAAGACAAACACTTCTTTATTCCAATGTAGCAAGTTACCCAACTACGAATTAGAAATACTATTCATTGAAATGTTCTCAGCATTAATTCAGTGTCATTTTTGCTGGACAAAATCACATCATCAATTCAAGTAGTTGACTAGATTTGCAGTCTGCAGCTGGAGGTTTAAGATGGGGCTTTTTATAATGGCAAATTGCTTAAATGTGTAATCTAACTGGTCCATGAAGGAAGCCACCGGTATTTCATGACTGCTCACTAGTGCTGCTGCCGTGGCTGTTTAGGTGACGCTGCATGGACTCCTGGGTCCCCAAGTGGTCTGAATCCTCTGGGTTGGCATACGAGGGGTCAGAGGTCGTCTCAGGGGACCCCCAACTGTCCTGCCGATGAAAGGTCTCACAAAGTGGCAACTCAACACCATCCCACTGTCCACAGCTAGAAATGTTATATACACACACACGTTACACACAAACTAACATTTCTTCTATCCACTTCTGCCTAAAAACACCCAATAATCCATTAGGAGTATGTATGAATAATGTTGAACATTCATTCACTCATTACAAAACAAACTCACACAACAGAAGGCACTGGGAAAGAAAGCACAAGCAGGGAAAGGAAGCTGTGAAAAGCATTGCTACTGACATGTCTGGAACCGTGTGGTCACATGGCATTACTCTTCTGTTTGCTGTCTTTCTATACACTGAACAGATAAGAGTAGAGTCTAATAATAAAACTGCTCAACAGATGAAAAGCAAAAGGCTGTAAGCAGCAGAGAATTTAGATTATGCACTCAGCAGAGGCAGAAGATAAATTCCAAATCAGAGGTGAGCAAATAATAGATCAGACACTAAATGTGCTCTATTTTATCTCTGGTTTATTTATGAAATTTGAAATGACCAGTTGGTTTGTAAAAAAAACTGACAAATATTCTGACACATTTTGAACAGGTACTAATGTGACCAACACTGTTTCTACTTAAAGTGTCACCACAAAGAAACACAGTGTAGTGCAATTTCAAACACTCCATAAATGATAAATATTACATTTTGAACATGACACATATGCCACTGAAAGCTAAATATTTTCCCAGTTTACACAAACTTTGATTAGTTTAACAGAGAGAAAAAAAAAATCACTGCATTTATATTGAATATTGAATATATAGTGAAAATCTTCTTGAATGATTTCTTCTTCTTGAAAATTCTTGATTTGATTTTCTGTTTCTTGAATGATTTTCTTCCACTAAGCTAATTAATATGATACTTTAAAGTAATTTTTACAATACATACAGCACCCTACATTCTTTTTTTACAAATTCTAAAGTGCTTTGAATTTTGCAGCTCATCATTGAGTACAGGCATCAAAATTAATGTGCTCAGTCCAATATCAAATTTAGATTCACATGTACATTTTTCTTAAAAAATGTAGAAAATTATTTCAAGAATTATTTCCAAAATGTCTCTTCTCATATAACTATTAATGTTTATTCTGGTGTGCTTCAAAGACAGCTTGAATTGATTTAAAATCTCTGAATATCATACTAATCTCTATAAAAATTAAACCCAAACAGCACCAATAAGACTAAATACACATCCTGATTGCAAGTAAATCTTCTAAAACATAATCATTTAAGGCACCTGGAGGGGAAATATTTACATGCACTTTTGTATAACAGATTGGTTTTCTTGTGCAAAATCAGTTATACTGAAAGTGCTTGATAATGTCTTTGGTGTGACTACAATATGAATCGATATGACAATATGGATGGATATATGGATTTTGCTATATGTTTGCTATATTAGAAGCATAGCAGAAAAAGATATGTCTGGCTTGTTATAATTATGACAAGCTGAAAAAAAAACAAGGGCCATACAGTCTTACTATGTGACTGAACTGGGTCAAAGGAGAATGTACTCTTGTATTAGTTATTGTCTTAACTGC